GTCCTGTCGCGACGGGCCTGAGTGCAGCTATAGGCACCCATCCATGTATTCTGTCACCATCTCTGTACTATATATTTCACCTATCGAGTTGTTCTCTCTTAACCTGTAAAAGGACCAGATGCAGCTCAAGAAGTTCATCAAATGGGGACATTTATGTTTGAACTGAACGCGGTGTCTTTTCCATAAATGAAATAAATACAACGACTGTAGTCCGAGTTACGTCATATCACAGACGGGACGTCACGTGTAGAATACAGCATGCATTAAATGCGGTGTGTGCCGTGCATCCTTTTCTTAATCTTCACTGTGTGTCTAACTTAATCTGTGTTTCCTCCCTCTCGTTCTGCCGCTTGTAGGCCACTCAGAGCGAGAACAACATCTGGACTGCCGTCCCCATCACGAGCGCACTTCTGGTGGGGCTGGCGGGGCTGCTGGCGGGGCTGGTGGTGGGGCTGGTGGTGGGTCGCAAGGCCCCCTCTCTGCTCGGACACTTGAAGACGTGCCGCTCCAGGTCCCGCTGCCGCCCAGATGCGGTCTCACATCCAGATGCGGCAGCACAGCTACTGAACGGGAACTCTCGGATCCCTGAAGCCTCTTTGGAAAGTTCCCACGCAGAGTCCAAAGTCTGAACACGCAACAAATGTTCTCCTGCTGGATGTCTGTTACTTCCAAGTAAATGATACATTGTGTCATTACACCAGTGTTGGGAGGATTAAATTATTTTTTATTTATTTAATAAAATAAAGAAATAAATCTACTCCCTGTTCACATTCTTTTAGCCTGCATAGGCTTCAGGAACCTTATTGCCCAAACAGCCCAGAATAAAGTGACACGGCCGATATTATTAGGAATAAAGTCCATCAATGTTAACCTTTATGTTACAATGGTAGGAGATTGAGGCAGAATTGTATTATTTTGTACAGTTGTAAAGACCAGAGGTCTCACCTGAAGCCCCAGATGAGGGGCTTCCTCTTCAACCCCGAGTTAATGGAGGGACCCTCGCGGGTTAACACTGATGGTTATGGCTGCTTTTATATCTCATTGTTTTATATATCTGTATAGAATAAAGTGACAAGGCCGATATTTCTAGGAATAAAATCCGTCAGTGTTAACCTTTCTTACGTTGGGATAAGATGAGTGACATTTCCTTATTGATTAAGAGATAAAAAGTATTATGTGGCATAAAATCACTTTTTCTTCAGGAAACAGAGCAACTGTACAGAAAAGATGTCAGACTGATCACATTCATTAGCTTTAAATAATACATTAATTCTCTTTAAATAACAATACTATTAAAGAAAATAATCATACTGGGCAGATTAAAGACATTGAGTCATTATTTATTAATGCATCGATCAGATGAATCAGAAATCTGACAATAAGGTTGGCAGATTCAAATCACACACAGGATTTTCTCATTTACACAGAAAAACAACAGGCAGGAAAAGTCACAACAAATAAATGTACGAGTCAAGTGACTTACAAGTCCGTTAAAATGAAGTGAATATAGAGCAAAACATTGTTAATCTGCTACAGTTTGAGCACAAGCCCACATAAGATGTTTACTACTACAGAGGCGCATGCTCCTGGCGGGAATGTCTTTAGCGAGATGCCGTGAAGCCTGAAGCGAGCTCTCAAACTGTCACGCTGCTCTCCTCCTCCTCCGTTACGCGACGCAACGCTGCCGCGCTCACAACCAAACGGTGTCCAGCCTTAAAACCAGAGCGATTACAATGATAAAAGGAAGAGAGGGTACGTGGTAAAATGATAAATAACACAATGGGCAGAATAGACCAATCAGAAAGTAAAATATACAAAACATTAGCAACACACAGCTTGTAACAAAAGGTACAGTATGAATGAAATGACAAAGTAACAGGCTTTATAACAAGAGTATCGTATTATCTCACTCAAATGCAACATGGATCTCATTTTAAAAGGAGATACGTTCCACAATGTTTAACAAGAGCATCGTGTTCTTAGTGAGGGACACGTGGCGGGTGCTAATCACCTCAAGCTTGCAAGTTGTCTTTATTAATAAAGAAAGAGCGTTTCGTTCGTTTTACACATAAGCCCCTCCCATCAATACTTCACGTTTGGATGAACCCAGGCAAAAGATCTGTGCAGCAAACCCAACACATATCTGCATTTCACATCCCAGAGGAGACCGTATTCCACGATCTCCCCCCCCCCCCACCCGCCGCCGCCGCCGCCCTCAGTGCACCAGCTCCAGCTGGCTGGTGGAGAAGGGCAGGACCCCGCTGACGTAGTAGGCGATGCCCAGGGAGAGCAGGGCGATGACCACCAGCAGCAGCAGCACCCTCCAGAAGCCCAGGTCCTCCACAAACTCCTGCCAGGTGGTGCGGAAGCTGGACAGGACGCCCTCGCTGCTCTGCAGGTTGGGGTTGAGTAAGGAGTGGCTCTCCATCGCGCTGGGACAGACGGACGGAGGACAGTGCCGTTACAAACAGGACCTATGCTCCACCCTAGGGCTGGGCGGTACGGCCAAAAGAACCACATCGCGGTTTTTAGATTCTGGTTCTGACGGTGTCCCGTATGTGGGCGTGTCGCTTTTTCAGTAAACACATTCATTCATTCATTGACCCCATAAAAGGGACCACCGGGCTACCCGATCAGCTGCTCGCTGCTCGCTGGCAACTAGCTCGCCAACTGGGCCGGACTTTTAACGCGTAACTCGTTAACGGTGTGGGGCTGGTTGTGTTGCCAAATGAATCA